AAGAGCCAAAATTAAAAAAAAGGTTCATATTAATGTATGTATATGATTATCGTAAAGAAGATAATTAGATATTAATGTGATAAAATGTATAAAATGCAAAACAATATATGATATTAATTAATAATTAAAAATAAAAATTAACACATATTTAAATATTACCTATATCAAAAACACTATTTTTTTTTTTTTTTTTGTAAATTTTTTCTATAAATTTAAATTTTTTGGAATAATGTATGTATTTTACAATAAGATACGAGCCATATGAATCTACGACGGGAGCCGCAGTTTGGCCACCCCTGACATATAATATAGCTAATATACCCGCCTAATATTATAATATAGATTTTACAAATAGGTGTCTAACAAATCAAATTACCATAGTGTAAATGTTGCGATGACCAACGGTAGCAGCGGTTCTTAAACGATTTTAGATACCACGTACATCATAAGTGGAACTTAGGGGTGAGCAAAGAGGAGATTTCTGTACTCCTACAACACTATAATTACCCAATTTGTTTCAGTAAAACTATTTAATTTTAATTTTCTGTCATCGTGAATAAATCTTATCCAATATTAAGAATCAAAGAATATAAATTATTTTTATTTTTGTGAAAACGTTGACAATGATCATTATTCCATGATAATTTAAAATCACTACCTATCATAAATTAGCTAATTATAAGATAATCTAAGATGTTAAAAAAAAGCTCTTTACAAGCTACCTAATCATCTTAAGATTATTTTTGACTAAAGCCTATCCTAATAATCAAATTCTAAATTCACCAAAACGACATATCTTAAGATGTCTATCCAAACTTAGATACATACAGTATAAATCGAACGCACAGCTACGCAGAAAAATGGCTATAGACTCGTGACAACCTTTAAAAATATAGTAACTTATGGATATATTAATCACAAAAAGAGTATACGACATCATACAAAATGGCATACAGTTGAACACGTACGAAGGCATAGATCTCAAACAATCGTAGCATTTATAATGGAGACGAAAATGGCAAATACTCGTGCACAAACCAAGCGAAAAGTATATGTACACAGTAGTTATGTAAAAGCAAATTATTAAACTTAATAAATTATATATTATATTATACTGGCGACACGATTTCTGCTGATGGGACAGAAAGTACTACAGTCGTATAGACGCGCTCTCCATACGTTTTGAATTTATGAAAATTCATCACGCACTCTAAAAAATAAACAACATATTATAATAACAATAATAATATGCAGAAGCCGATAGTCGATGTACATAATATTATATATGCCAATATCAGTACTTTGTACGCGTGCATGCGGCGTCGTTCCAGTTAAGCCAAATAATAAAATAAGGCCATAAACCATGTGCCAGCGCCAAACATAAAATGAGTCATTTGTTTTCGTATGACACAAAAAAGCTCTAAACCGCTGCCCCGTAATGTGGTGCAGGCGGGGGCGAGACAGACCGGTGGAGCTATTTATAGTCGTTAAGTTTCGCTGGTCGACAAGAGAAAATGGTCAACAACTGTATACACTCCACACATATACACACATAAGCGCAAGCGCACACTTATTTCATACTCATCATGGTATACTACGGGTGTTTTGCGGCCAAATGTGAACGACGTACGCAGATACGAAAAAAAAATAAAACATAACAATATTATCGTCGACACTAGCAAGCATATGAGGCGATGACTTTCGGTATAGTAAAGAAAAAATGTCAAAAAAAAAAACCAAAATGGTTCTGCAGCTATCTCGATTTTGGATTCTGCAATATCCCAAAAACATTAAGCGATTAGCTTTTTCAGCTTAGTCACTGCAGACAAGTCTCTTTGCCTGATTCAAATATCAGCTAAAGAAATTTAACGTGCACTCCAAGATCAATACCTATAATAAGACATCCATGGATAACCCGTCTCTATATAGACGCCTATCTCATGCCAATAATATGTCATTACACGAAAGTAAACCGTGGGATATACAAAATATTAAATAATAATCTTGTGCGGTCGACGATATATTAAAGAAAAGTGTTCTATGGTACATAATCTTTTTATTTTAACGAGATGATCCAATACTCGACTAACAATGTACCTATAGATACCTATCATAACAGACTAAGTAACAATAGTGAATAGGTATTATTTTAATATTTTTAATATTATATTAATATCAACGATTAAAAATAACGATATATTATCTCCAATAATACTTAATAGTAATGGAGAGACATAAACCTCTCTTTCCTTCATCATTGTTATGTAAACAATTATGTTTCTAAATTCTTAGGGAAACCTGTTAAATTAACAATTATTAGAATAATTGCCATTTTATTTTACGAAGTTTTCAATCACACCACCAACGGTTTAAATTCAAAGGTCATTTAAAAACTTACGATTTAAATTTTATTATGAACAAAACAACCGAAATTAATAATAATTCAATTACAATTATAGACTTATAGTAAAAATATTTTAGAAACCATAATCCATATATACACTCGTAATGTAATATTATATTAGATATACACGTATAATAGGCATAGAATAGGTACAGACACATTTTAGTTCCGATAGATTTTTTAGTCTTGAAAATTATTTTGTGCCAATATGTACCATTATTTAAATGTACACACTATAAATTCTATAATTGATTCAAAACCAATAGGTAATTATTGCTCAAAATTCGGATAACACTAATTCTAGTAAATTGAAACTTATTTTATTCTCAATATCAACAATAAACCACAATACATTTTTAACTTTATAAAATACTATTGAAGTTTAAAATACTAATCAATTATTGCATACATAACATTACCAAACCAAAAACTGTAATTTTAAATATAATTAACAACAAACTTTAGATAAATTCATTTTTACATCAGTTTTAGAAAAAGTCATAAAGAAAAAAATATTTACAAAATTAAACAATACTATCATCAAACATTATAATCAATCATGAGTCATGACATTGTGTGGTAATAAAAAAACAACACAACTAGATAATATGTAATATAGTTTCAGTTTGTTCAATCAACATATAGGTATTTCAATTATGACCAGTTGAATTAGTTATTTAAAAAAAAAAAAAAATGTAAAATTAAATACTTCATGAAAACATTAGTTCTTACTTAAAGTACTCATATTCTAATTTTATGAGCTGATTAATAAGAATAAACAATTTAATATGAATACTTACAAAGAAAATTATAAATCACATTAAAAAAATTTTATTTACCAAACTAATTTATTATTTTTCATTACTGTAATGTATTAGATATACGTGATAATATTACTAACAATTAATTGTTTAATCTTATCTATATGTAAACATATTATTTGTAATATCTACACCTATATATATATTTATAACTTAACAAGTCCAATAAGAGTAATGACATATTATTATATTATTTTAATTTGTACCAGTAAATAGAAGTATAAGTTAAATTTAAAATTAGAAGTTCAAATATTTGTCAAATAAAAACATGTAAGCAAATTCACTTTTTAACATACCTACTCCATAATAAATGAAAATGAAATCATTCATAATCATTATTATTTATGTAGGTCAAGGCTAACTTTAAAATATATAATTTAAGGTACCTATGCTAAGCGTTAATACTCTATCATTGTTATTGTAATAGACTTAAATATTTCAAAAAATGTATTTGTTATAAGGTAATTTAGTAAAAATATGCAAATTCCTTACTTAGTTTTTAAATATTATGATTTTATTACTTATTTTAAATAATTAAGTCAATAATTTTCTTAATAGACCCAAATTTAAAAGTAACTAATTAATGTTTAAGAAATATTTTTACTTTGCAACTTAATTATCTTACATTTTTCTATTAACCCGATAAATTCAAAATTTCATTAGTACAATATATACTTAAAAACCTTATATTTTTAAATAATTATCATTAAAGTATATACTGTACTTACAAGTAAACACTGACACCTAACTAAATTAAATGATATAAGTAAACAACTAGATACATATATATATTATACATAATATGTTATATATATCTATAGCATGAATAAATCTACAACTAATTATGTTTGTATTTGACTCCTAGAACATTCATCATTTAACTACCTACTTAAATAACATTACAATTACAAAAACATTGAGCACAATAAAAAACAACATGTGTACCTACCTAATTATATAATAAAATAGTTTATTACAATTTGTCCAAGAACTAACATCAAATTATTTAATTCTTTAGTTATATCAATGTAACAACCTAAACAGCAAGTAAAACTCTACTAGATAAATATCAAACATAACGTGGGAAAACAATGAATTACCTACTAGAAACTAGACATTTTTGTATTCTATCAAGTACGAGTTCAATAATAGAGGTACCTACATGATTTTATTATATTATTATCTTCGTTTAATAATAGATACAATAAGTGAAATAGTAATAAAATACACTTACATTATGACGTTCATGGGCGAATTCCAATGGATAATATAATATCTGCGTTGATATTCATCATTTTAATTTTTCTTTTTGAAGTCTGCATCTACAAATTATTGAATTACACGATAAATATTTAAACACTGACACTAGTTATTAACCCTAAATACAAAACATACAAGAAAATTTAAGCAAAATAAAGATAACATCGACTAAATCTCAATTATTCGAAAAATAAAAATTTATGATTTTTTTATGTGTAGGTATTATAAATTACAATAATAATAATAATAATAATAATAGTGATTTGACTAAGAATCGTATTGAAAAGTCTCTCGTTTCAATGATAAGCACGACACCAACCTAACAGAAACCAAACGTAATCATTTGCGCAACGTTGGGACTCCCGATCTGTATCAATTGTTTTCAAACATTAATTTAAAACACGATTTTTGTTGTTCACTGATAATATTCCGTTGGTGTACATTTTCACTGTTCTGGTGATCATGCTTTTGATTTTAAAATTGAAATTGTAAATAGTTAATGCCATCAAGTAAATATGGATGAATTGACGAAATTAGAACATTTGTCATTAGTGTCGAAAATATGTACCGAATTAGAAAATCATTTGGGACTCAACGACAAAGATTTGGGTAAGACATAATTGAACCTGACATTTTATTATAATATTTGGTCTATCATATTACTATTATATAGCATTGTATTATTTTCTAAATTATAAATTGTATTAATTTCTAGCTGAATTTATCATTGACCTAGCATTCAACAACGATACGTTAGAAACATTCAAAAAAGCTCTTTTGAAAAATGGAGCTGAATTTTCAGTAAGTTGTTATTGTTATCACTAGATATAGGACATTAATGACCTTAAAAACACTCTAAAATGCCTTAAATGAATAAAAATATATTGACCAAAAAAATCTACTTAAATAATTAAAATTAATTTAATTGGTTGTAAAAAAAAAAATATTTATAAAATATTTTAATTGATTTTTACTGTTTGTCTGAGTAGCAACCAGTTAAAATAAATAAAACAGTAATTCAAATTTATGAATAAAAACTAAAATTATTTTATATATTCCATAAAATGTTTAAATATAATACTTGATAAGTGTTTATGAGCAGCATATGTGTGTAAAATCACTTGTATTTTAAATTATAACATATATTTTAAAATTTATAATACGAAAACAATAAATGTTAATCACTATGTTATTATTTTTAAATATACAAATTTTCTTTGTTATCTAAAATTTAAGTAAATATTAATTTGTATATTCTGAACCAAGAAAGCATAAAACAAATTTTTAACCGAGATAGTATTTATAAAATCAAAAAAAAAAAAATGAGAATTTCATCAACATCCTATCTTTAATTATTACATATATTATATTAATATATTTTATATTCATTTTTTTTTTTCAAGGATTCATTTATTGCTAATTTGCTGCGTATTATACAACATATGCAACCGAAAACATCAAAACAATCTGGAAATAAATTATATGATAATATTGACAAAAATGATACATTAGCATGTAAATTTCCGGGTTTAGCAATACCCAATGAAATTGTTGGTGAAGAAAATGACCCCATTAGTGCTGTCATGGCTGAATTAGAGTCTTTTGCTCCGATTCTTAGCTCCAAGTATGATTAAATTTTGTAAAATAAAAATAAAATTTATTTTTACCTATCTAATTATATTATGTTTAAATGATTATTTTTAGTGGTACTGGGGAGGATAAAACTAACCCACCAAATGCTTCACATGATAAACATTTTTCCAGAAGTCGATCTAAGAGTCATGATAGACAACACAGGAGGCGAAATTCTAAAAACAGAAGTAGAAGTCGAGAAAAACATCGTAGGGACAAAAGTCACGATAAACAGAAAAATAGAAGTCGTGATAGACAGAGGGATAGGAGTCGTGATAGACAGAGAGATAGAAGTCGTGATAGACAGAGGGATAGGAGTCGTGATAGACAGAGGGGTAGGAGTCGTGATAGACAGAGGGATAGATACAATAAAGACAAATCATATAGAGATAGAAGTAAAGAAAAGCGAAGAGATCAAAATAATGATCGAAACAGAAATCGAGATAGATATGATCATCACAATACTAAAAGAAGCAGGAGCAAAGATGGACAAAGAAAAGAAAGATATGAAAAAGAGTATGTTATTTTCTATATACTTGAATTGCTCTTAAAAATATTTCAATTTATACTAATGTAGATTAGTCTTGTATAAAAATTATTTTTTAATGTGTATCTATTGTTTCATTTAGAATTGAATCAAAAAGCAAATTTCCAGAATTGGGAAAAGTGTATTCTGGTAAAGTCTTAAATATTGTAGACTTTGGTTGTTTTGTACAATTAGATATGTTCCGTCAATCCCAAGGACTTGTACACATTTCACAATTACGTCAAAAAGGAAGAGTGACTTCTGTTAGTGACGTCGTTTCAAGAGGTGATAAAGTTATGGTGAGTATCATTGAACAACTATAGACATGCTTAATAGTTCTGTGAATTGTCAAAATATTAGCTATTCAATTCTTACAGGTAAAAGTGTTATCAATAAGTGGTAACCAAAAAATTTCATTATCCATGAAAGACGTTGATCAAGAAACTGGAGAAGACTTAAACCCTATGATACAACCTGGAGATTTAGAGTATATTATAAAATATCTAGATAACATAATTTATTTTTTACCTCTCTTTTAATTATTCTAGTGAAGACGATGATATGATGGGTGGCCGTAACCCTGACCGACCTACTTCTTTATTAGAATTACAGACAATTGCTGATGCTGATGAAATGACAAATTTAAAACGTATGAATAAGATTTCATCTCCAGAGCGTTGGGAAATTAAACAAGTAAATACATTTAAATAAATAAATTTAAAAATGAAATATTATTTTACTTATTTTTTTTTTTTATTATTATTATTATAGATGATATCAGCCAATTGTATAGACAAAAGCGAACTTCCCGATTTTGATGAAGAAACTGGTATTTTACCCAAAGACAACACTGAAGAAGAACAAGATATTGAAATTGAAATTGTTGAAGATGAACCTCCATTTTTACATGGTCATGGTAGAAATCTCCATGATCTCAGCCCAGTATGTAGTACACTTAGAGCAAAACATAATATTCACTTCTAAATATATTTATTGATTTATTTTAAATATTACAAATGTTAGTGTTAGGCTATTGTGTGAAATCATAAATTGACTTATAAAATAATGTTTAATACATACATCACCTTATTTTTACTTTAATTTGTTAACTATTAAAAATCTATTAATCTTAATCTTGTATTTTTCAGGTTCGTATAGTTAAAAATCCAGATGGCTCTCTCGCACAAGCAGCCATGATGCAAAGTGCATTGTCCAAGGAACGTAGAGAACATAAAATGTTACAGCGCGAACAAGAAATGGATTCTGTGCCTAAAAATGTTACTAAAAATTGGATCGATCCTCTACCAGATAGTAAGTGATATTAGTTGCACAGTAAAAAATGTATTTCATTTAATTTTCAAAAATATTTAGATGACAGTAGACAATTAGCTTCAAACATGCGAGGAATTGGTTTAACTGCACAAGATGTACCGGAATGGAAAAAACATGTTATTGGCGGTAAAAAAAGTTCATTTGGAATGAAGACCAACCTAACTCTCCTGGAACAAAGACAAAGTTTACCAATTTATAAACTCAAAGATGAACTCATAAAAGTAATAAATCTTTGAGTGATGTTTAAATTATTAAAAATGCACATTTATTCATATTCATTAACAATAGGCTGTAACTGACAACCAAATATTAATTGTCATTGGAGAAACTGGTTCTGGAAAAACCACTCAGATTACTCAATACTTAGCTGAGGCTGGGTTTACTTCAAGAGGTAAAATTGGATGTACTCAACCTAGAAGAGTAGCAGCCATGTCTGTTGCAAAAAGAGTATCTGAAGAATTTGGATGCAGATTAGGACAAGAAGTCGGTTACACTATTCGTTTCGAGGATTGCACTAGTCCAGAAACTGTTATCAAGTATGATTAATTATATTTATTTTAATTTTAATAATATTTTTTGTAAGTCTATCAAAATATTTTTTATTTCTTTTAGATACATGACAGACGGCATGTTGCTGCGTGAATGTCTAGTAGATTTTGACCTGAAAAACTATTCTGTGATCATGTTGGATGAAGCTCACGAAAGGACAATAAACACTGACGTTTTATTTGGATTGTTAAAACAAGCTGTCACGAAAAGGAAAGAACTTAAACTAATAGTAACGTCTGCTACTCTAGACGCTGTGAAGTTTTCTCAATACTTTTTTGAAGCGCCCATATTCACAATTCCTGGACGTACTTTCCCCGTAGAAGTATTATATACTAAAGAACCTGAGACTGACTATTTAGATGCATCACTTATTACAATTATGCAAATACATTTACGTGAACCACCTGGTGATGTATTACTTTTCTTGACGGGTCAAGAAGAAATTGATACAGCTTGTGAAATTTTATATGAGAGAATGAAGTCATTAGGACCCGACATACCAGAGTTAATTATTTTACCTGTCTATTCAGCTCTACCTAGTGAAATGCAAACCAGAATTTTTGAAGCAGCCCCTCCTGGATCTCGAAAAGTATTATTAAAACAGTATTCTATCAAACTATTTAAAAAAATGTTCATGTTAAACACAATGTATATATTGGTTATTAAATTTATTTACTCAGGTTGTAATCGCAACAAATATTGCTGAGACTTCATTAACAATTGATGGTATCTATTATGTTGTCGATCCTGGATTTGTAAAACAAAAAGTTTACAATTCAAAAACTGGAATGGATTCTCTAGTCGTCACACCAATTTCACAAGTACGTTTTGTTATTACTTTTTTTGGATATTGGTTTAATATAGTATGATAGTACTAATTTTTACATTAAAAAATATTAAAATATTACCTATTTAATATGTTTTTTAATAATAATTCACTATAGTATACAAAAACAATTTATTATATATTAGTGTAGTAAAACATTTTAAATATTGTCTTTATTATTTAGACAAAATTAATTAAATATTTAATAAAATATTGTTATTTTAGGCACAAGCCAAACAAAGAGCTGGTCGTGCTGGCCGTACTGGACCAGGCAAATGTTATAGACTTTATACAGAGAGAGCCTATAGAGATGAAATGTTGCCAACACCTGTGCCTGAAATACAGCGCACAAATTTAGCAACTACAGTAAGTTTTTAAATATTAACATTCACTCATTTGTCAGTTTCAATTTAAAAATTATTATTCTCTAGGTATTGCAACTGAAAACTATGGGCATTAATGATTTACTTCATTTTGACTTCATGGATGCTCCACCAGTTGAAAGTTTAATCATGGCCTTGGAATCATTGCATTCTTTAAGTGCATTAGATGATGAAGGTTTACTTACCAGATTAGGAAGACGAGTATGTATCTGTTTTAAAAAAATTGAATGTTGAATAAAGAAAAATATTATATTATTTTAGATGGCAGAATTTCCATTGGAACCAAACCTCTCCAAAATGTTGATAATGTCTGTTCATCTTCAATGTTCCGAAGAGATATTGACTATTGTATCCATGCTTTCTGTTCAAAATGTTTTTTATAGACCAAAAGATAAACAAGCATTGGCTGATCAGAAAAAAGCTAAATTCAATCAAGTTGAAGGTGATCATTTAACACTTTTGGCAGTGTATAATTCTTGGAAAAATAACAAATTTAGTAATGCTTGGTGTTATGAGAATTTCGTCCAAGTACGTACACTGAAAAGAGCACAAGATGTTCGTAAACAATTGCTTGGAATCATGGACCGGTAATGATTAAATTATCAATACTTATAACTCTGATTAAATTTTATATCTACTTCTAAATTTTTGTAGACATAAGTTGGATGTTGTTTCGGCTGGTAAAAACACAGCTCGAATACAGAAAGCTATTTGTTCTGGATTTTTCCGTAATGCATCTAAAAAAGATCCACAAGAAGGTTATCGTACTCTTGTTGATGGACAGGCGGTCTACATTCATCCGAGCAGTGCCTTGTTCAACAGACAACCTGAATGGTTTGTATTGATAAATAAATAAATTATCTACAAATATTACACATAACGATACTCATAAAAATTAAATGTATTTTATTATCAGGGTTATGTATCACGAGCTGGTTCAAACCACCAAGGAATACATGCGTGAGGTGACAACAATAGATCCAAGGTGGCTTGTTGAATTTGCACCAGCATTCTTTAAATTCTCTGATCCAACAAAATTGAGCAAGTTCAAAAAGAATCAACGACTAGAACCACTTTATAACAAATATGAAGAACCTAACTCGTGGAGAATTTCCAGAGTGAGGAGAAGAAGAAACTAATTTTTTTTTTTTTTTTTTTGTATATATTATTAATTATTTTTTATGTACAATATTTTAAATATAAACATATTTATAAGTAATTAAGTGTTATAATACTTATTTTGCCGTAGCCGATCTAGCAAATTGTACTATCATAGGTTTATCTTTTAAAATATATCCATTAGTCTCTTTCAGTGCCTGTTGGGCATTTTCTACACTTGGTAATGTCACAAAAGCTTGACCTTTCATACGCCCATCTTGCATCAGTCTTACGTCAAACCTACAAAAATAAAACATAAAATAATATATTCTAACAAAAATTAATATTGATATGTAAATATTATTCAATTTTACGTACATAGTTCCTGGTTTGAGATCTCCAGATTTGATGAATCTCTTATAAATGTATTTTAAATCATTATCCAATACAGTTTTGGCTAAATTTTTTATATATAACCTACAGGATGGAGCTCCAGGATAATAATTTTTAAAAATAGGCATATTATTCATATCTTTATCTGATAATCTATTTGTAGCTAATTCTTCTCTACTAATACAATCTCCTGTTAAATCATCATCTGAATCACTTTCTTTTTTATCTTCTTCTTTGTTAATACTCTTTGATGAATATATTACACCAAATCCTCCTTCAGTATCTGCAGCTGGTCCCTCGACAGGTTTTAGTTCTGCAGATACTTTGACTTCAATTTTCTTTGGTAACTCACATTCAACAGTGTCAAAAACATTGGCTAATTCAACTTTGGCCTTTTTAGCCACTGTAGTTGTAACGTTTTTTAAACGTTTAGGATTTATAACTTTGCATTTTTTCTTTTTCAATAAAGATAATTTAGGTTCTATATTATGATCACTTTCATTGTCACTTTCCATCTCAGATTCTGAGAGCTCTGGATCGGTTTCATCAGTAGTGGTATACTTATCTGCAGTTTCAATTTTCATAAACTTACTCAGGGGGTTACCTATGACAGGTTCAAAAGGTGCAGGTAGGTTCATGCGATTCATCAAGTGTAAGACTTGATAGTAGAACTTCTGATTGTAAGCTAATGCGTTGGCAATATTTGACAGTATGTATGGGTTTGGATCAGGATAACTGTAATGCAGATGATGTGGCGGTGGTTGGTTTAGGTCGATTTCAGCAGACCAACTATTTAACTTTCTTAAATAATCCTCTTGTAACTGTTTTACTTCATCAGTATTGCATTCAATAACTGGTAGTGGCTTAGGACATTTCATTAGATTTACATCAAGATCATTTGCAGACAATTCAACAGTCAACCTATGGCCCAATAATTCTTTTTGGTGCAACCGCTGAATAACAGCTTCAGCAATTTCTTGAGATTCAAATCTAAAATTATAGATAGTATGTAGTAAACAAAACAAAATAAAAATAGGTAGTATCTTTGAAAAAATTACCTCGCATACGCAATAGATCTCCGATTTGTTTTTGATGTCAATATTTTAACATATTTGGCACCAAAATACCTGAGAAAATCTTCTTTATCTTCAGACGAAATTTGTGGAGGAAAATGGCGCACTATGAGTGTAGCAGATGCCATAATTTTCGCATGAACTATGTAAACAGTAAATTGTCAAATCCTTCTTGGATCTAAGTCCTAAAATAAAACATTGTCAAAAATACAGCAACAACTGTTTTTACACAATTTTAAATAAAAAACTTGCCTATATAATATATAAATACTACAAATAATAATTATACACAATAATATAACGTAACGATCACTTGAAAAACATTACACCTCATTCCGATATTAAATCAAAAAAAATATATAAATAAAAACGGATAGTACTGTTCAATATTTTACATGCAACTTTTTAATGGCAAGTTATAAATAGGTTAGAAAGCTAATATAGTTAAAGACCAAAGGTATCAATATTTTATGAAATAATAAAAATTCAACATTCATAATATATCATATTATCGCAATTAAACCGACTGCAGCCGGCAATGCAGTACATAAACAACAGCTGTACTCGTCACAGTATCATCAGACTCACTGAACATGAATATTAAATAGATAATAAAAAAAAAAAATCACTTATTAAATATTACAAATACGTTAGCTCTATCTAGTGATAACTATGGAAATTGCATTGCAGATAAGTTATTATAAGACAGATTAATGCGGTGGCGTTGCTATTCATTATCCTAACTCTTAATTCCGATTCCGTTTACTGTCGTGTTTTCTTCTATTTTACTCATAAACACAGATCTTTACAAAATTATTACTCTGAATCGTAATAAAAATCAGTTTTTTCAATATTGACTTTGTGTGTATTCTGCAGTTTCAGTTTATTTCAATTTTTAACATTTTTGAAATCGAAATTATTAAAACAAAGGGAAACCAAAAACTATTTTAAACAGCTTTACCTGTGTAAAATAAAAATTGATTGCCGTAGGAATCTAATTCTTTAAATATAAATTTATAATTATTTAAAATCATAAGTAGTGTTGTTATATACACAAATAAATCACAAGAATACCTATGTTACTTTTATATTTATATTGTACCTATGCATTTTCTCAATATAATATTTATATAATATTGTACTGATAAATTAAAAAATTTTAAATAAATAATTTATTATTACTTCGTAGCAGAGAAGATTTTTTGGTGATACACTACGTATTCAGGTTACGTGAAAAATAAAAACAGCAACACCTATGATAACCAATCACAACAATTTTCATTATGATTTTTTAATCATAGCATTAAAGGCCACAGTAGAATGATCAAGATAATTAATATTTTCCTAAGTACACATTATGATCCGATATACTCAGAAAATCTGAATTTAAGGTTGTCCTGATAATTTAAAGTGGATCGATCCCGGTAATGGTGCAATTTTGCACCATTACGTGCAATTCCAAGCCAACCCCCGTCGGAGCAGGAGAAAGCCCCTATTCTTCACCATGATTTTTACAAGAAATAGTTTAACATTTGAACCACTCTATAAGAGATCCACTAGATAAACATAGTCGCATTAATACTTAAGAAAAAAAAAAAAAACTATTCAGTTTAAATTGACCCACTCATCAAATGGAAATCATTCGCAGTTTCACATGTCTCCAAGCGCTAGTGTCTGCAGACGTCGCAATACCACCTGTTGAGTATGACACTACAACGAGGAAAAGTAAGTTATCTATTATGGAACAACTGAAACATTCATATATAATTATTACACAATAGGTGCTATTTTTTACTAATTTTTTTCTGATATTTCTCACGTACAACTTGTATAACGTGTTATTTAGTTCAATATTATATTTCTCGAATTGTATAAACGTATAAATTTAAAAAATAAAAATACTTTTATTTTAGTTAATAAACAACATAGAACTTTAAGAATTATAAACATAAATAAAGCAAATTTGGTGAATGATCCTAACATGTCCATGAGAAGTATAAAACAGATCATTTCAAAATCTAAGGGAATTGACGAGTTAACTGTGCACAGAACTATTAATAAATAAAAGGCGACAAATAAAGTGACTTCTCCTAAAAATAAAAGTATAAGGGAAAATGTTTACGATTTATTTAATGACTGCGTGATAAATTCGATCTATAATCTATATAGACCCATGCTTAATACTTGGTTTCAACCATCGATAAAATACATAAAATGGTGTGTGATGACGAGAGTTACCTCAGCTATATCACGTACCAGTGGTATATTTACGGGACGAGTCCCAGAAAATTCTGGGATCCCAAAATTTCCCAGAACTAATTTTTATAATTGGAAAAATAAATTAAAAAAAAAAAAAGGGTAAACAACAATCTTTTAGTAAATCAAATTTTTAACAAATTTGTTTATGCAATAACGAGAAAAATAGGAGAATAAAATTAAATAAAGCAAAGATAAATGTAAGTAAAAATGTAACTGGGGCGATATACTTTTACACATATAACTATATGAGTGCTGAAAATTATAATCATTCATCAGATAGCTTGTCAGATACTAATATTAAATTCAAGCTATAACTTTCTTCCTAATCTACAGAGAATTCTCGAAAATATGATCAAGTACACCGCTATGTAAATTTAATATAAAATATAAAATAATAATATAATCATACATTCATGCACCTTACCAGATTTGCAGCAGTGAATATGTGACACTTGTCAGGAAAAAATTAGGTAACACAAATGAGAAGACAACTTTCTGAACACCTGCGTTCACATAAAAAACATCACTGAATTAACTTATTGAACAGCAAAGCTCCAATTATCACTCACAGAATCTTGTATTGAAAGCTCTCGCTTGGGTGGTGAGTGCACATGCACTGGCAAAATAAACGATGTGGTCAATCCAGCCAGAGGCTGGCGGTTTTGTCAGAAGCATCTGCATTCTCACAGAGCTAGGCTAGTTACATGGGCATTCCTAGGAGGAACAAGGCGGAGCACTTGCCCCCCCCCCTAAAAATTTTAATTTGTTTCCTAATGTGTAATGACATAACATGATATTGTTCTATGAATAAAATGTAAAATAATAATACCTAATTGAAATAATGACAAAACATAATGATGTAGTATAATAAAATATTTTAAACAAAAACTTCATTTATTTTTTATAATAATATTGCACCCCCCCCCTAGAAAATGTATTATATTTTTTTACACTAAAGCTTAGAAATTTAATATTTAAAATATACTAACACAAACATAGTTTCATATTTTTATACATTATTTTTTTTTTTGTTTTTTGAACTTGTGTCTGTACATTTATGTTTAACTTATTATATCAACTTAAATTAGATTTTATATTTTTGTACATTATTTTTTTTACACTAGTGCTTAAACATTCAATATTTAACTTATACTAACTTAAATTAGGTTTTATATTTTAATACATTATTTTTTTTTTTTGTTTCTTAAACTTGTGGCTGTACATTTATGTTTAATTTATATTTGCTTAAATTTAATTTAATATTTTATTCATTATTTTTTTTATACTTGTGTCTATACATTCAAATTTTAACTTATACTAACTTAAATTGGGTTTTATATTTCTATACGATTTTTTTTTTTTTTTACACTAGTACTTAAACATTCAATATTCAACATATACTAACTTAAATTAGGTTTTATATATTTATACATTATTTTTTTTTTTTTTGTTTTGAACTTGGCTCCATAATATTTTATGTTTATCCATACCAACTTGTTGGTATTATCTAACATTTAATTTATACCTGTTCTAAATTAGTTTTATATTTTTATACAATATATTTTTGTTTTTAACTGTAGACTATATATCTATGTTTAACCTATACTGTCCTATAGGACATTTAACATTTAATCCTATAATAAAATTAAATTGGTTTATATTTTTATACATTATTTTTATACCTAGTTAGACATCTCAATATTTAAATCATCACTACACCAACTTAAATTGGGTATTGCATATTTTTATACATATTTTTAACTAGTAAAAGTTTAAACACTGAAGGCTTCTAACTTAGCCTAACGAAATTAGTTTCATTTAGCGGTTACTATTTTTGCTCTTGAACTTGTATTGCATTAATTTATGTTTAATTTAGTTTTCGCTTAAATTCAAATTTTAATATTATAGTTACATTTAATTTTTATATTAGTGCTTAGATATCTGTAATATTTAACTTATACTAAATTAAATTAGATTTTATATTTTTATTATTTTTGCTAAATCTAAGTGTTTAGAAATCCTTCATTATTTAACTTATACCATTTAAAAATGGGCTTTATATTTATATATATTTTTATTAATTAAAGTACTTGATACTGTTCACATTTACTATACCAACTTAAATTAAGCTATAGCATTTTGTAACGGAGTTTTTGTTTTAACTGTGTCTATACATTTTATGTTTATCTTATACCAACTTAATAGAGATTTAATATTTAATAACCTATGTCTAACTTAATTCCTGGCTTTATATTTATACAATTTTTACATCAGTGCTCATAGATATTCAATATTTTGCTTATATGGTATACCTGAACCAAATTTAGCTTATATATATTTACACATTTATTTTTGTTTTTGAACCAGTCTAAGATTTATGTTTATCTTTATACTCAATTAATAGACATTTAATATTTAACTTATAATAAATAAATCAGTTTTATATTTTATTATTATTGTTTCTTTTTAATTAGTGCTTAGAAACTAAGATTAAATCAAAATAAATTAAATGGGTTTTATATTTCATATATATTTTTATTGTTAGTGCTTAGACATTCACATTTAATTTTAGCGGTCGCACTTAAACAGGTTTTATATTTCTATACATTTATTTTTGTTTTTGAACCAAAGTCTATACATTTTATGTTTAATTCCATATACCTGTCGAATTTGCCAGACATTTATTTATTTAACTTATACATCTTAAACCAGGTTTTATGGTATTTTTACATGTATCATTATTTTTAACTTGTTCATACATTCAATATTTAATTTTATACCAAATAAAATGGGTTTGTATTTTTGGCATTATTTTTATAATAGTGTTTAGACATTTATCATTTAATCCTATAAAGTAACTGCTCATTTTATATTTTTATACTACTTTTTGTTTTTGAACTTCAGTCTGCCATACTTTATGTTTATCTTATAACAACTCTATAGAGTTAGATGAATATTTATCCCATACCAATTTAAAATTTCAGTTTATATCATACAATTTTTCAATATCATAGTACTAGGACATCTAATATTTGGTTATATTAAATTAAACTTTAACTTAGGTTTATATTTTATAATATTTTTGTTTTTGATAACTTGGTTCACATTTATGTTACTTGATTTATTAATAAAGATTTACATTTTGATTATTTTAATAATATTTAATCATACAAATTACAAATACTGCAATTGGTTTCATGGCTTTAATATTATTATTTTTACCTTAGTGCTAATTCAAATATTTAACTTATACTAATTAAATATTTTTATATTTTTACATTATTTTTATTATAATTTAGACATTCAATATTTA